GTAATTCCATCGCACCTAATCCTACTGACACTGCATCGCATATCTTGGGGTGATAGAACATCGGATAGGCCCATCCGATACAAATATCTTGGCAGTGATGTGCCAGTGGATTTGGTACACTAACAATATTCATTTCTGAAATCATTTGATAATAACTTAATCACACATAATTAGAAACCACGGATGAGGCTAGTCAGGACTTATTGCCTATCCCCACCATCATCCTGTAGGGCAGGAGGGTGGTCCAACAAAAGCTACGGTAGAGAGTTTTTTGGAGGATGCATTAAGCCACAACTTGGGCTTTGCACATTCCCTAAGTGAAGTGAGGCTATTTCATCTTCTCGTTCTTACATACACTCTGTGAGGCCTAGAAGATGGACGAGAATGTTGGATGAATGGAGTGAGTGGGCTACAAAACTTGGGGTAGGTTCGGGAGGGGATGGGTCAAACCTTCTCTCTCTCTCTCTTCATATGTGCTCGTAGCTCATCTCCTTTTCTGTCTACACAGCCCAACCAGTCAAGCAAGTGTGCCTTGGCCCTGTTCTTGGTTTGTCGCGTATCACTCCATTCAGCCTACTACGGTCTTGTGGACTTCTACCACATCCGTCATACCTCCTACTGAAATATCCAATATATATTAATCTCATTATATATATATATCTATGTAAAGGATTTGATTAATATATTAAGCTTATCAAGATTATTATTATTATTATCATCATTTTTTCAAAAAAAGAAGCTTTTGAATGTGCATTCATATAAAAGTTTTGAAGTAAAAAAATTGAAAATTGATAAAGCTGCTCTTATATATATATATATGTATGTATTTATTTTTTTTTTTTGAAAAAAAAAAAATTTATCCATTCACCTCCCCCCCAAAAAAGAAGACAACATGGTTTTACAATCTATATCTTTACATCGTTCCTTTCCCCTCTCAACTTCTCTCTCTCTCTCTAAAAAAAAAAAAAAAGTACAAGACCAAAGACACCACAAGAACAAGCCCCAAGCCCAATTAAGAACACGATCAAGCTATCTGATCGTTCTTTCTTTACTTTTCTCTTAAAAGCACACTGATAACACTGTTGCAACATAGTGCATACATTGTTTTACTCTTTTCGGGAGAGAGAAGAAGAAGAAGAATAAAGCACTCTTTTCCGGTGTTCATTCTTTAGTTAAGGTTCAAGTTCAGGTTCAGAAGGAGGATGAATGACGAGGGTTAGACTTTCTGAAGGAAAAGGTGGTGGAGGTGAAGAAGGATTCAGGAAATTAGATTCATTTAGAGTTAATGGAGTTAGAGCAGGAGGAGGAGGTAGAATAATAAAAGAAGATCTTTGAATGAGTGCAGGTGAAATTTCAGGTGATCTATCTACACCTAACCTTGAAAGGTTTGAAGGTGAACCTAAGAATCTAATTTGATCAGGTGTAGGACCAGAGTTGGGTAAACGATAAATTTCACCTTCAGTTAAATTTGTATTATTAGTAGTCCTATTAGTCATGTTACTTGAATTGACTTGATCATTTGAAATTGGTTGAAATAGAGCTCTAAGAGGTTTCGGAAATCTAGTTGAAGATG